AGATGAAGCTGTTAACTCAACAATGGTTACCTGGATGAAAGATTTAGGGCATATTATCGATATAGAAAAATGGACAGAGACTTGGAAGTCCTTAAAATATATGAAGGCTACGAATTATAAAGAAAATATATACAAAGTATTCCATCGTTGGTACTGGTCCCCAGATAAGCTGGTAAAATGTAACTTTTTAATATCTAGAAATTGTTGGAAATGTAAATGTGGGAACTTTTTTTCACATGTGGTGGCAGTGTGGCAAAGTGTATAATTACTGGAAGATGATACAAAAGTTAATCTCAGAAATAATGAATACAAATATGGATTTGTCTCCTGAAATATATTTGCTTAATATGGTCCCGGACCATTATAAGAAAAATGATAAATATGTTTTAATTTACATTTTAACAACTGCCAGAATACTATTAGCCAAATATTGAAAGCAAGAAGAACTTCCCACAAAAGAAGAAGTGGTGGGCAAGGTGTTAGAAATGGCAGAAATGGACAAATTAAGTTTAACTCTTCAAAGGAAAGAGGACAATATTTTCTATGTAAGATGGCTGTGTTTATATAACTGGATTAATAAGTTTTGGAAAATTTAGACTTAAATATGTGGGAAAGATGTATAGGTACATTGTTATAAGCTCTGTAAAACTGATAAATAAACACAATAAAAAAAGAAAAAATCTTAAGGAGGGTTTCTAAATGAAAAGTCCAATAGTAGCAAGAAAGACTGCTGAAAGACTGCTACCACAGGGCAATGACATATCTAGCAACGTCTGATGTTCACTTGAAAGTGCATTCTAGAATATGCTCTTGAATGTTCTGTAATGCTCAAGGATTCCATGACAGACATAGAGGATATCCCATTTTCTGGAACAACCCTTACCTGAATGGTAAAGAGAGAGGGGTTGTAGAACCACAGAGCAGCCACTGAAAAATGCCTCTTCTAGTTCTTATTTTGCTGCTGAAGACACTATCGTAAAAAGCTCTCGTATCTGAAAATTGCAGTTGCAATGGGATAAAAATTATTATCAATCAATGAAGAAAATTCTGGTTTATGACAGCACCATAAATTGTGCTGATGCAATAGACTGTAGGCAACCAGTGAAAGCTCTGGAATATTGTTCCTATGTGCTCCAAGTGACCCTCACCGCCCATCATGAGGTGGGGTCACTGCATTCCATACCAGCTGCAGCTGTTGAAGAGTTTTCAGTGGCAGCTGTGCATAGAGTTCATTACATGGTCTAGCACCGTGACCCCTGTTTAATGAAGATGTTAGACAGACTTTTTGCCTGATGGAGTTTGTGATATGGTATATATATCTAGTACAGTATGATATTGCTCTGTATAAAGAAGCCTTGTTTAAGAACAGTTAAGTGGGGGTTTTTTAGAGGTGACTAACTTATTCTTTGCATGAATAAGAAGGAAGATGGCTGCAAAAATGTTATTCAGAACAGAACTGAGGATTCAAAACAACCGACATTAATTTGGAGCTCTGAACACTGTGCATACATAAAAGAATACTATTTTAGAAACAGACAACTGCCTTTTTGAAAAGAAATCTAAAATTGGCTATTGTCATAGCAGTAATATTTACACGGTCTGTTTTGGCAAGGTTTAAATCCTGGGCTCCACTATAAAACCTAAAAATGTCTTGGACATGAAGTTGTTTACACAAAATATGAGAAGATATAAAGTTACAGAGCTGGGGATTGGAAGAGGCTTTGAAACCGTCCTCTGTGTGCTGACGTCACATAGAAACCAGCTGCTGGGATGATGCTAAACGGATCTGTTTTTCAGTTTGCAAAAAGTTGCAAGGCTGATCTATTAGACTTCTAAGGGCTGCCCTGGTCGAGAAACTGAGCACTCTCATCTCTTTTAAGGATTGGTATTTTCACAACTGGAAGCCCTTTCCCAGCCTCAGTGCTTTCATTGCTAGTTTACATGTGGACTGAAATCATTCAGAAGGGATTTTTCCTCTACAAAAGGTAAGCTTATCTTTTTTTAAAAAAACTTTAAACTGTTGCTTGAACCTTATTTAAAGACAAGAATATGTCCACAACTAGATGAGCTTGAAATGGTGCCCAAGCCATTATTTAAATATCACTGTGGGTTTCCCCCCTAATTTGAATGCTGCTCAGTGATCATCATAACAAAAAAACCTGGATTATTTAAGGATAGAGAGATTTGTACAGTGAATGAAAGAGACAGGCAGCCCTTTGAATTTCCTTACCAGGAGAAAGTCTTGGAAGTTTGTACACAATAATGCAGAAGTTGGCAGTTGTTGTGAAAGACTCAACACTCACCACTTTGTTGAGTGTGCATGGTTATATTCTGGCACTGCTGAATGACTGTGCTGCTTGAAAACCAAAGAGGGCTCTGCTTGCTGAAGCTGCCTTGGGTATCACTTTTATTCACCTCTGTTAAAACATAACACCACCTTGACTTATGTCTTGGCATGTTATTTTTAGAGGCTGCCTTCCGTACCCCAGAAGGTTTTTATTTAAAACTATTTTATGTGTATTAGGGGCAGAGTGGAATAAAGGGAAGCGTAATGTGAAAGACCTTATACAAAATTTTGAAATGATAGGAGAATTCAGTTTGTTTTGAAGAAGCGAGAGTGACATATGTACAATTGATTCAGAAAACACTGATTATTTGCCTAAAGCATACTGCTGTATTGAGTTTCTGACCTTGGCTAGGACGTATTGAAAAGTGTCAGTACAGTGAAAGACACACAGCTGATCCCCAATGGAGACAAAAAAGTGCCTTGCTGTGGATAATAGTTATATACTTGTAAAATAAAATAATTGTAAAATAAAAAGATCAATTTATAATTGCAGCCTTTTAAAAGTATGGCTGT